ATGTATTCGGAATTCCTAATTTAGGATTTTTTTCCATGTTGATTTTATCATCTTTTTGCGCAAATACGTTGCAAACGATTGAACTAAGCTCCTTTTAATTATTAAATTGATCAAGGCAAATTGAACGTGTTTATTTTATATAATGATTTTTTTGACAAATTAAAACAAACTAAACTATTCCAGGTAGCTAACAAATTTTGTAGTAATTATTTATATGCAGTAGGCATAATCTTACAGTAAGAACGTTAGGTATGGGATTTACCAAAAGACCTAACAAAGTCGTTACTGTCAACCTTCTTCTCAATTAGTAAAGAAAGTGTTTTAAGGAAGAGGCCGTCAGAGGCAAGTCAGTAACACCTCGTTTTATTTGTTCAAAATTATGGGTACGGACAAAGAAATACAAATTCTTTTTATTGAGCCACTTGGGCCACGATAGTTTAACCTCAGTTCGGTTAATTGAATGAATGAAGAAATTTGATTGGTTAATATTAAAAAAATGATTCGATCAACTTTCTTAGTCCTGTCTGTGAAGTGAACTGAGGATGGACTATCGTTCACTTTCCTTCACGCTTTACCCAGGCTTCGGATTGGCCGCATTTGCTGGCGTTTTTAAAATCGGATTTAGGTTCCACCCAAAGGTTTATCCATATTTTTTATTATAACTATGTGCTGCTCCATTCATAAATAATTCATTTTTATGGGGGAACGGAGGTTGTGGACGTCTATTATTCACCCCAGGTTGATTTACGTATAAAATTTGAATATACAATGTAAGAAGTGGAAAAACAAAAATGGGCAAATAATTAAATGCTCACCAGTCATTTAAATAAAATGTGGCATACTGAAAGAATTGAAGAAGCACCAACTTCAAAATTGCTATAGAAACGAACTTTAAAAGTACTCGTCAGGACAATAAAAGATATAAGGATCAAAGGTTCCTATTTGTACCATTCCTCTTCATGTACCTATCCATACCGAAACATTATCCTGTTTTAGTTAAACGAGAGAGTTGAGATGATGTAAATATTTTTCATATTGTATGTAGGACAAACAGTATATAGTGGACTATATTACGAAAGATCAATCTTAATTGCCAAAGTTTTGATGTCAAATTTATCTATGGAAGGTTGTCGATATGTCACGTAAACGGATGTTCTCAAAGATTTACTTAACCCGAATCTACCCCTATTAAGAATATTTGGCATATTACACCCCACCTTATTTCTTGCACGAATTTAGGACCCGCTTTACAGCTTTACAAACTTGTCAGATTTAATGCGGATCGTCGCGATTTATGCTTTGATCTTTCCACCATAAATTAAACTTACATTCATCTTTCATTTCGGTTGCGCCATAGTTCATTACAGATTTGCCCACCTTTTTCCTTGTAGGGTGAGCTCGTCTTCACGATTGTTGCTTCTGTTAGTAGGTAGGTACACAATGAAAGTCGTAGGTCGGAAAATCGGTTAACCTCGAACTTCCGGCGCGGTTTCAGTGAGTTGCCATTTCATGTTGCATAGCTAAAAGTTTAGTTTAATTGCGCAAAGTTCAAGGTCGACAATTCAGCCCTTACGCTTTTCCATTCTGTTCGTCTCACTGAACATATCTTAGAAATTAACGTAATGTATACGACTCTAGACTGAGCAGGCAATTGCTTTTACTGTTTAATGACTTCGGTACGTCTGCAACACGAGCAACATAATCGATTAATTAGCTATGAATAGTCTTGGTCCTTGGAAACAATTAGGTATCATTGCCACTCGTATTTTACACTACTCTATACCTATTCAGTAGATCGCCATTGACTTTAATATATACAACTTTCTGATCCCCGGCCCTTCCATCCATGACAGCGAAAAGACCCTTTCTCACCTATAGAAGAGTAATGGCAACCCAACACCCTTTCCAACCTCTATGTGCATTACGTAACAAATATATACATATACACAATCGCGAAGAAAGAAAAAGACTGTAAAGATGTTCACTGTAAGATTTAAGACTACCGACAATAACCTTAAATAGATACTACTTTTCTTAGATTTGGTCATGACCGCGTGATTCTTTAAGAGCAATAGTCACCTAACTTTCTCCAGCAACCGGAAGAACACATGCATAATGGATGACTTAACGTATTTATCAGTATCAAACTATGTAATAAGAGTCGTTTATTTGATAAGCAATTCACTTGCTTAAGTAGCTAGTTAATTCCATCCACTTATAAGATCTATGTTAATGACAAAAGAAACATTCTAGTCCAGTATAGAATTACTAAATAAGTCTAACGTTGATGAATTAGTTTATGTAATTTATTATCATAGTTAATGTAATTTATTATGTACATACGTTATTAAAAGATGTTTTGTTTCAATAAATTTTATTAAGTTGATCTGTGTGAATTATCTCTCCAATTCCACTTGAATCTTTTGCAGATCAATTACTTCCTTTGCGGTACGAGACGCAAAAGTAATAGGTAGGTAGGTACTAAACTACTAACCAGAATAGGTATAGAGGTAACTATAGAAGCATTGAATTTGATAGTTATAATTTTTGGGGTAAGTAAATATGTAATAAATTATGAACACGGGCTGAAACTATTTACAATTATTCAGTCCGGGCTCATAAAGAAATTGAGAACTTCATTTATCGCATTGATAGTTACACATATAGTACGTTATCTATCAGGTAAGTAACTAGCACTTTGGAAAACTAACCGTTAATGTGGCGAATTTGCCAAAGCAGCGTAAGATTTGCCCCCTCGCGCCTATTTTTTTATTATATGGGAATTGGGAAATGCCTTTCGCGCCCCCCCCCCCCCACTTGACGTTAAAATCCGGTGCAAGGAGATTGTGGTGATTGCACCCACTAAACCCTTCTCCCAATCCCCATGACGCTCCACTCCACAAACCAGTCATCGCCCATGGCGTCTTCCCGTTGTGTAGTCGATACTCGATTCCTTTCAATTACCCTGTCACTTGAGCTCTTTCCCCGATGGCCACAACGCCCACAACCACTACTTTTCAATTGCATTCCACGTCCTCTTATCCTTGCACATCAACCTCTCAGTTGGCCCCACTGTTTTGCGGTGTTTACTCCACCAAGTGGCCTTGTTTAGCTTCTCACGCTCCCTGTGATTCGTTGGGGCATTGATAAAATGTGTGTGCCTTGTCGTCACGTAGTCCACACAGTCTTCATTTTCACGCTTCCCACTCTTATGAAGATGCATCCCATTTTCCCCATCGCCCGTTAGCAATTGCGTAAACGGATTCCCATGCCCCCGGCCCATCCGCATTGTCTCCGGGATGAGGGAATTATTTTTATTTATTTATATTTCCTCTCTTGTTTTGAGCCCTCTACAGGCTTGGCTTGTTCCCAGTTATAGGATGGCCCGCATAAATGCCTTTTATAGGTGCAGGTCTTAAGTTGTTCTATACTACTCCGGTATTTACCTTACCAATTAGGAAAACTGCAGGAAAACCTAATTGGGAGTAGCCGGCAGAATGCTCGAAACTGATCTAAGCCGCTAATGAAAAAATCGTACCTCAGCCCAGGTTCGAACACCCGACCTTCCGGCGGTGTAGCCCAACGCTCTACCACTGAGATACATATCCGGGTAGTAGAGTAGTCCATGATTCTCCTTTACCCCATGTTAACTGTCACTCTATACATTTCCCCTCGCTCATCCACTTGCCCGCTCTGACTGTAACCATGTTCGCTGGAGAGTCCCCAGAACTCTTCTTTTGGACACTCTGGCCCCTATTTTGTTTGGTATAATGCGACCGTTTAGTTCTTTAATGTCTTTTCAATCACATACTTGACGGCGCCGATAATGAGAGTACTAGTATCCCAGCATAAAATAATCTTAACTGTACCTTTAAGAAGAAATAGCGAGCATAAGAAGAAAGTTCCCTGTTTGGATGCTTATTAACGTGTTGCAATCCCTAAAGGAGAAGACGCGCTCACATTTACACAGCACCAAAATCAATTCGATCGTGCATCAATTGGTTAGTGAAGCTAGGTACTTATTAATTACCAAAGAAAATTATTTGGTGTACCTAATTGCTTGAAAAGGATTACCCATTAGCTACAAACTTAATTGAAGAAATACAAACGATTTAAAAGACGAGCTATGGGTTCGGCTAACGAGTTGAAATAAAACTCGATGATGACGTTTATATCAAAACAATCATTGCAGTTTGATCCATCGAAGTGTAGGAGCCAGTAACACTGCTATAGATCTGTCCCCTAGTATTCAAATCGGAGCCGGTCCAGAGTCAATTTTCAACTTGGGTACTGAAATCGCTGCTTACCGACTCTAGGAACCTTTCTGGATCTCAAGGTAATGTTTTCTGATAACAGGGATACCTAGTGAAGTATGTGGTCATGACTGTGAAATACTTTATACCTACGACGAGTGAAAGTATTAGAATCCATGGAAATCCAAACGAAACGAATCAGGAAAATACGTGTAACAAACAAAGATACAAATAGCATAAGGAAGAGGAAAACCAAGACCAGCATGGAAACTATTGTGGAAGAAAGCATTATATCATAGATAAAAACCATGTACAAAATAAAAACAAACTTGTTGGTACAGTGCGATTATAATATACCTTAAGGACCATTGTTTATTCAAAACAGTGCTTATACGGTGGTATTAAGCTGCGTACTGACTTGAAGACGAATGCGAATGAGGCAAACTGAGGCCGCATCGAATACCTCGTGGATATACATGAGCACGAATTCTTTGAGTAACCGCCAGCATTTAGATCGGTTCGAGGTTATTCGGTGCATGGTTTGAGCATATTGCTACGGGCTGCGCCTCGGTGCAGCGTCCACACTTGATGCCTCATTTGCGTTCGTCCTAAGTCAGAACGCAGCTTTACATGCCCCTCTGTAAACACCACCCGGTATATCCGCTTCTAAGATGACAATAGTTTATTTGTACCCAACAGGTAGTTCCAATGATCCCATATTTATTAAATTAAAAATGAGGTTATATCATTTATTTTTGCGATTGATATACCTCTTATTATGAACTGTAAATATTAATAACACTGTAAATTATGGCGGAAGAAAATGCTGCTCCCTTTCTCGCAGATGTAAACAGTATATGTAGAATATGCTTCAACGAAAAACCACCAGCGGAGCTTCGTCACTTATATGAAAATGCCTTCGACACCCTAATAGAAAGCTTAATCAACACCAAGGTAAGCAGTTTCACCTTCTTACACACGCACTTTGATGTTATTATTTAGCTAGTGCAAATGGACGGTTTCCCAAACTTTATATGTCGAAGCTGTATTGACAAACTAAATGATGCGAACAACTTTCTCGAATTATGTAAGCTATCTGAACAAAAGTTAAGGCAGATTCTTGTATATCCGAATCCGTCACAGTCTGATGCGCCCAGTAAAGAAGAACGACAAATTGAAAGTGTAGTGGCGAGCAATTATGTAAGTTCTTATGTTTATGTTAGATTCAAAGACAGATCCTCTTTAGAAAATGAGGAAATCGAGGCGAAAAAGAAAGGAAGGAAATCGTTGGTCATCTCCTATTCCTTCATCAGATGACGAACTTTTTATTGACGAAAATTTAGACAAGGACTGGTCAGAAAAGCATGAAGGAAAAGGTCTGAAGGAGAACAAGGAAACGAAATATGCATGTAAAAAGTGTAGGAGAACGTTTCAGTCTTCCAGAGGACTTCGAATTCATTTCATGAAACATGAACTGAAATGTGAACTGTGTGGAAAAAAATTTCGACGTACCTCACAAAGTCTGGTACCATTTTCCTGATAAAACCTTTTCATTTTTAGTAATGAAGCAGTTGAATGAGCATATACGGCAACATAAGGATTATAAGCCGCATGTGTGCAAAGTGTGTGACAAAGGATTTACCGCTCCGGGAAATTTAACAAAACACATGAGGATACATGGTGGCGAAAAGAGACATCTTTGTACAACTTGCGGTCGCCGATTTTTCGAACCGAATCACTTACAGGTGCACATGAGAATTCACACAGGTGAAAAGCCAATTGTTTGTAACGTATGCGGGAAACGTTTTTCTGATCCCCATGGCTTAGTTGCACATAACAAAACTCATACAGGAGAACGTAAATACGAGTGTAAAACTTGTGGTTTGTAAACCAAATGCATTCTATTTCATTTTCAAAGCTGAAGTGTTGTAGGTAAACGGTTTGCTCATTCTTTTGTGTTGACTGCGCACACTCGCATTCACACAGGCGAAAAGCCATACCAGTGCAATATATGTGGGGCTTCGTATGCAACAAGCAGCTACTTGACAATCCACAAGAGGACTCACACTCACGAAAAGCCATTTAGTTGCGAATCCTGCCCCAAGGCTTTCATTAGTCGATGTGCGCTTGTTGCACATAATATGACACACACAGGGGAAAAGAAATTTGAATGTCACATTTGCAGCAAAAAGGTGGCTAGAGCGGCGGATTTAAATATTCATTTGCGATCGCACACAGGTATTAGTATTGCAATTGTTGATATTTTTTTGACAAATTTGCACAGGTGAGAAGCCATACGGCTGTGATCAATGTAATAAACGCTACCACACGTCAAGTAATCTATCCGCTCACAAACGCACTCACTTAGGAATAAAAAATCACATTTGTAGTATATGCAGTAAAGCGTTTGGTGATGCACGAACTTTGAAAGGTCACATCAGAATTCATACGGGCGAGAAACCTTACGTTTGCAAAGTGTGCCATAAGTGCTACTCACAATCCGGGCAGTTGGCAGCGCACCGCAAAATTCACTTAAAACAACAAGTTCAGACTCCTGATGAGAACAAAGTTGTTGACGAACAAGCCACAATTTCGACTGTCACACAGCTCATACCTTTGCTTCATTCAGATTCGACCAAGGAGACTTATAGCACGCAATTTATTCCATTTACAAACGAACTGGGATCTGATGGTACTATAAAAATATCTGAACAGTTTAGCATGGACTTGAAACAGCAGCATGTCATAATTCTGGATACAACAAGCAATCACAGTGAATTAATTCAGTTAACTGCACATCCGTCCGTTTGCAAAGATGAGATTAGAGAGATTCAATTGTAATGATGGTTCCCGGATTACCACACTAACTTTCTAAGGTCTTTGTATGGGATATTTCACGAGTCTGTTAGGGTTTGCTACCAAGACAAATTTTCATTTCTCTGGCATTGCTTACTTTAATGGTAAAGTGTGAGCTCTTATTAAAGTAATAGATATTGTAGTTCACTGTAGATACTGTTGAACATAGTGCAAAAACAAATCTAGTTCAAATTGAACTATGTCTGTATATATTATCTTTTTATTTGGTGAAATAAAAATATAGATTAAAATAATTAAAAATTTAATTGAATTAGGTGAGAAGTTCTCTTCCACTACCATGCCCCCCATGTCAGCTTCCTTGTATTCTACCCTGGAATTTTTGGACTTGTATCAGTGATTTCTGACATATCAATTCACTTAATTCCAGCTATAAAAGTGAAACGACTTTCACTAATATATTCAACCTCGTTTTTCCCAGGCGCTACTCGAAACTCCGCTCCGTCACTTGAATTGATCAACACCTGCGTTGCTTATCTCCTACGTGGCATTGCAAAACTAATTAATTCTTCTCCATTAATTACTTCAAAATTAAATCAAACAATTACCGAGTAAATTTACTTTAAGAAAAACTAACATTAAAATGACCATAGGACAAAATTTTCCCATTCTGTGTCCATTTTAAATAAAATACCCAGATCCTATGAAATACACTATGTACAGGATGTTCCGACTTCCGATTACCATTTCCATAATTTTGGCGAACATTAGCAATACGTATTTCTACTCTACAAGGTGGCTCGCTGCCTCTCTCTCATCTTCGGCATTGTTTCAATTTGGAGAGAAACGGCACCTCCATGTAGTTTGCATAACAATATTGTGATAATCTACCCCTATGGTTAGGCAACACACCTTTACATCTGAAGCAAAATTATTTCGATTCGACCGTTCTGAACAGATGCCGTAAACCAGGGAATTTTTCATAACGAAATTTGGGGGGAATGTGAGCAATTAACAGGATTCGGTTGGAGTAGAATGGCGGGTCTAGAGTTTGTTGTGTTTAAAAAGTGTTTACAGGTAGTAATCATTTTATTCTTTGAAATTGAAAGAGGTTGGACACAAGTAAAATCTTACCTACTATAGCCATGGACTATGATAAAAGAAAAACATAGTCCGTGGCTACAGACAAAAAACTCGTGAAAACAGAATCTTTATAATTAATTTTTTCGCGTACAAGAAGAGGTAGAATAATCGTTTCACATGATTTAGATGCAGAATTTATATCTCTATAACTTTTATTTGAAGTATTTTTGCGTAAAATAATTAGGAAATGTTTGCGCAAAGAAAAAGTAATTTCCCATGTTAAACGCCTATGTTCCACTTTTCGATTTACACCCTGTACATAATACACATTCTTCTATTTTTGAAGTCTGAAAGGCCGTTGTTGACTTTATTGTCAAAATTCTGGATACTGGACAAGTTTGCGAATGCGTTCAGTGGTCTAGAAGCAGAACGTAAAACTATTTTCTCGAGTATTGTCGTTCGTTTTGGCGCCCGAGCAAAAAAAATTTGAAAATGACTGCAAATTGCAATGACAATTTTTACTTTTCTGTTGCACTGCGCCCTCGACTGCGCCGCTCGTTTAATAATTAAATTAGATTGATGCGCGTAACAACGAATACATAATTTGTCTTATATTTATTGCTCGATTTATTGTTATCAGACACAGTCTATTAAACACGTATCGAGGAACAACCATTTACTGATGATTAGAGGTATCTGTGGGCCTACAAAGCAATGAATGCATATTGCGCCCTGTGAACTGCGCCTTTAGCATGTGCATTTGATATTAAATTATGATGTTTAGTTTCTTTTTTTGTACTGTAGTTATTTTATGTTCATGCTAATAAAGACGTTATTATTATTGAATTTCTTTTAATATTTCCTAATAAATTTACATTATTTATATCTAACCCTGTATCTAACAATTCGTTTTGGATAGTTTTTTATGCCCCCTTTAAAAATCTGTGAACCTTTCATATTGTGTTGCAGGCGCTGCCCCAATTCAAAGTCACGTATATAAATACGCGCGGAAAACGAGACAAAAGAATTCAACGCTACGCACGAAAGTTAGACGTGTGCTGGGGCACACCAGCTCGGTGCCACCGAAATCAAACAAATCATACTCATCTCATATCATTATTGTAGCATTTGGTACACCAACAGACCATGCCCCAGAAGAAGTTTTAAGCGTTACATATATCTAACTTACATGCGAAAGGACGGAAGGAAAGTCATTAAACTGGAAATGTATGTCAATTAAAAATATTTCAATTACTGACACCTTAATTTATTTCCGCCGTTTATCGTGGAAGTGGGCACATATTTCCAACAATTAATTGCAATATCACAACCACGTGCCAGAACACATAAAAGGAGAAGGTAGAGAAAGAAAGAAAGGAAGCGAGAGAGAGACGCTCATTAGTATTCTAATAAAATTATTATTATTAATTAAGTAAATTAAAAATACTTAATTCCAGAATTTAAACCGATTAGAAAAGTTACTAAAACTAAGAAAAATGTAGAGGTGAAGAAATAAAAAAGAGAAGCGTGTCATTAGGTTTATTTTAATACAAAATTGTAACGTTTCAATCACTCAATATGTCTATTAAAACTCTTTACTCACTATGAGGTTGAAATACAAATGTGCAATGAATTAGAATTTTGTCAAGTATACATAAACAGATTGCTAATTATTATAATTTACCTATATATTTTCTTTGTTAAAATTTATTATTTTTTTCTTTCATAAAGTCGTAGCTACCAATCTTAACACAGATCTTGTACAATAATACTTACAAGGCTAAAAATAACACTAGACTATAACGTATTATTTACTTGGTAATACTTAAAACACTGGAAATTTACTCAGAGCCTCAACGATGAGTGTTATGTGTAATTTACAAAAGGCAATGACTATAAAATCATCACTTTCAAAAGAGTATAATATACAGTGTGTAAATTTTTTCTGAACATACAAATCTCCTGAATACATAGGTATTAACTCTTATGTTCAATCTTAGAAGTGTTCAATTACAAAATATACATGTCAATGACGGTTATGCAACCCACCTTACTCAAAAATTAGAGAATATAATTATTAATTTAATAAATAATTCAGATATTTGCGTTTATTGACAAATTGAAAAGATTTGTTGCATATCTTGTATATTTAAGAATTGAACATGAGCGATTTGTAAGTTCCGAGTGAAAGTTTACTCACTGTACTGTACTTATCAATATAAACTACGGAAGAATTATGCGGGACAATTTCAGAAGGAAGATCATGAAAACAGTAACAACTAATTGTAGAAACTGCAATTTAACACACAACTTATCTTACATCATAATATTACTGATAGGACAATATTAACATAAAAATAATGTAGCTATGGATACTATACTTAAGAAAAAGAAGAAAAGTATTAGAAAAATCAGTCCTTTTGTCTTTTTCTGGGAAGAGTATTTTGTGTAAATTTATGTATTGCTAAAAATGTTTTAGAAAGATTCATAAGGTTGCAAAACGTTACACTCTGCTTCTGTCTATTACAACCTTAAGATTTAGGAAAAGAAATGGCTAAATTAACCATAAGTGCTTAGTGTTTGTTCGTTTAGCTCCATGCAATGTTCCAACCCGTAAAATGTTTACAGAAGTAACGCTGAATCTTTCGTAATCACTTAAAGCAATTGTACAACAATGAATGCCCAGAAACCTCAAGTCACGGAAGCTATAAAATTAATTAAGGTAGTCGATTTCAGAGCTCAAAATTCCTGTATTTTGTACTTTTGATATGTAATCGTTTTGAAAGTAGGATTATTATTAAATATGGTAGTACACAACATGGAGCCCACAGCACTAAGTGAGGCAGTCTGTTGAGGTTCTTTTGCTGGAGCCCACAGCACTAAGTGAGGCAGTCTGTTGAGGTTCTTTTGCTGTTTAAAAAGTTATAACGTTATACCGTTCGTACAGCCCTTAATAATAATTTTTATCGTTATTCTACAAGCCACTTCGTTTACCATCAAGTTTGCGTATTAAAGTGAGGTTCAGAGGCACAGTGCGTCTTGTTTATCGCAAATCGTTGAAAGACCAGATTATTACGATTATTATCAGATTAAGAAAAACTAATTGTAAGATTTTCTTATTTCTTTTGTCGACCGCCTATGTGCGGGGTAATTCGTCCAAACAACAACAATCCTTCTTTTTATTTCAGAAATTTTGTTTAATTTTCATTTCATGTGTTTTGGAATAAATTTTTGTCATTGCCAATTGTCTGTTTATTCGAACCCAATGTGCGACCCGGATAGTTTTTATGTCTGATTTACCTTCTCGCGTAGATTTATTTCAGGTGTTGATACTTCTACTGTAATAAAATATTTGTAATTTTCAAAAGTTGATCGAAATTTTAAGTCAATATTGGAATTTTTTGTAGCAGATGCAGGAAGTGTACAAGGATAAATTATGTTTTAATTTTGATTTGTTTGGGCTAGCTGGATAGGTGTTTTGTGGGTGGTGTACTAGACTGCATTCTATTGCAACCAGCAGTATTAATTGGCGCCCAACGTGGGGTCACAGGAATAATCACAAAAAATACACACAGTTAATGCGGTTGGTTTTTGGATGTATTGAAAATGGAATTTTGGCTATGATATCAAGAAAGAAAGGAATCCAATTTGTTTGTCAAAAGTTCGCTGTAATCATGGAAAATACAGTAAGTTGGGTACAAATTCGAAAACCGATTTAAGGGAACAATTGTATTGCTAAAACTAGGATAAGCATCACAATCTAAATACAAAGCTATAGTAGTGTTCAAGATCATAATATTATCTCATCTTACGGAGGTTTCTGAGCAATCCCTATAAGGGTAACTAAATAAATAAATTAAAACTAAAAACAGCCACATCAGCCTTTAAATTTTGTTGTGAAAATACACATATAATACTTTACATAATCCACAGAAATATCAAAAAAGTTGGCACATAAGTTATAGTTATTAATACCGGAAGCTGCCTGCGCACTTAAATAAGCAATTTTGATATTTCCATTGGCTCTTGCTTGATGTAAACGATAATAATGTATAACAAGGATTCACACAAACAACAAAGAGAGCATTTCAGACTTCAAACACGTAATACTTACTAATTCTCAGGTAAGGTTACTCCTAATCTCTGTAAATCTTTTAAAGGCGGTAATGGTCTAGAAGGCCAAGAATTAACAGTTTTTAAAATGGTAGTTTGATTTTGTATTTTTTCTAACTCGACTATATAAGGATATATTCTCTGCTCTATCCACTCGCCGATAGTATAATGATCAAATATATCATTCATGCTATCGACGACGGCTCGATTTAACGCAAGTAAACTATGATATATTCGTGGTAAATCTGAGGTCAACTCGTCAATGCGCAAAGGAAGGCTATAATTACGTCTTACATTGTAAGCAGTTAGCCAACCTTTCTGCTGCTGTGTGACCTTCAAATATTCCACCACCTCGTTTTCGGTATTGTGCAAGCGGTACATTAATCTAAACACCGGGCTGCCCGGAAACATGCACCTGCCCATTTTGTCCCATAAATGGGGATCGGCTTCTAACGCGATAAATGGAGTGGGACGACCTGATCCGTGCTCGGGACAACTTAAAGCGGATAGTAAACGATTTTTGAGTGACAAGTTAAAGTATCCAGTGGAAACTGCTAGCAAATTTAGAGAGAGCGACGGAAGGGATGCGGGGAATAACTCACAAAGTATGGCAAAGTGATCATACCTCTGCCACCCTGTCAAAATAATACCCGAGAGACCCTGCTTAAACAGCTGATTTTGCTGTGACATCACGTCCAGCCATCTCAAATTATTTTCGAGATGCCTTCGTGCGTCAGGTACGTATAAACTTTCACCGAAAGCACCTTTGAAGGCTGATGCGGTCCATGCGGTTTTGAAGACACTCGCGTACTTGTCCCATACGGGCGACTGCACAAATCTGTATATATCCTCAGCGTAAACCCACACCATTGGCTCTACCAGTTCCCCCAACCCGAAATCTTGCAAGCTCTGTTGGCTTAGGTGACGAAGCATGTCGTCCCATATTATCAGTCTCAAGTGTGGCCAATGTTTGCGGACGAGATTCGCCACATTCGAGACGTGCCTCAGAAAAAGATTCTCGTGCAGCTCTAACCGACATATCTCGCATTCGCCCATTTGGAACACTTCATCGCATCCGATGTGCAAGTAGCTGATTTTAGGATGTAGTTCCAGCATCTATAAAAAGAAGATTAAGTATCATTTTAGGTTGTTTGCGCGGTTTTCCGAAGTGCCCGACGATTCGCGATTTTTGAGTTTTTAACAATTTACAAAATACTTTATAAAGTTCTGAGACATTGCTGCAACTTCTAAGAAGAAACAGTAGCACCACCATATCATTTTTTGCAGTTTGTCACATATTCCAGCATTGAAAGATACTCAGGGCGTTGCAAATGTTATCAGCTCCAAATGCTCCAAGTTTGGTCAATTTTCCTGAACCTTGAAATAAGCACTTTCCAAGATACTCGCAAGCGTTCCTAAACTTCGCTTGGCACTCAAATGATAAGTGCCTGTTTATTTTAAACAAATTGCGAAGGAAGATTGTGCATTTGTTTAAAAAGAAAAAAATGTTTACTTTTATTGTATTGAAATGTATAAAAAGTTCGTTTTAACAAATGGGATCTCATTTGTAAATATTAATTGAAGATGTTGCTCAAACTAGGACATACTGTTGAACTAGTTTATGCTACATGTAAAAATGGACAATAACATACATCTTATTTGTAGTATAGTATATTAAGAAACAAGACGTGTATAATCAAGTATTTAAAGCACGCGCAACGAGTTTCAAGACACGATGGGGTTTTTTCTAATTAACTGGGCTGATTATTCGTAATTCCATGATTGCCATGAAAATATTACTTAACGATTGGTTATAAAAATCACCATCTTTGTAAAGAAAATGACTTCGTCCATTCATTCTGTGGCTTGTTACAGAAGCAGAAAAAGTTGGTACCTGCAAAATCCAAATGCAAAGCCTATTATAAAGACGTTCTGAATTCCGTACTCTCAAATTGGGTTGAAATATTAATAAAACAAGATGCTGTCTTCCCCAATTAATTTATATTTCTGCTGTAGTAATTACGAATGTTGCAGAATCAGTTGGCTGACAGATGTTTCGGTCTGGTTAAGAACAGGCCATTATCAAAACAAAAATCATTAAAAATTAAACATCGTTGGTGCCAAGCTAGGACGCCGAAGGGAATGTCTGCTAGCCCGCACTAGGGAAAGACCATGTCAATGTGGTTTACATGTGGTCAGTTACATTAAAACATAATTACAGGCAAAAAGTCAGATTATGCCAACCTATGGACGCTTAAGGTCTGTCACATAGAAGTCTCGTATTGGAAGTGGAGCAAAAATAAAATGATTGTCACATGTTGAGGACAAGGTGAGCGGTTCACCTTGAAATGTCACATGTTGAGGACAGGTGAACTGCTCTCCTTGAAACTTTTTTTTATTATTAAAAAGGGGCATATCACAAATAGCCTTTGAAGCACAAAGAAATAATTTCTTTTCGTTTCTGAAAATAAAAATACCATAAATAACATCATAAAGAAATTGTTAATTTTTGAAAGTAACTGTAGCGCAAATACATAACCATAGAACCACAAAGGAATTGCCTAACAGTATACGTAAGTTCAATACTTGTTGAAAAAATCAAGGGCGAAATAGATACCTACCTACAGTTAAAAATTTTTTTTAAAATTAAATCACAAATAACCGTAACGCAAATAAGGTAAAGTGGGGTAAGTGCGACCATGTTTTTTAATAGTTCAACTTCAATTAAGTATAACATGTGCAGTTTTAAGATTAAAAAAATGATTTTTAGTTAATATTGATTCCTTGTAAGGTTGTTTAACTGACTTGGCTCATATTTCCTTTACAACACAAAACAGAAGTATGTTATAATTTTTTTTATTTTGGCCTGTGACTGATTGCACTTTCCCAGCCAAAGTGGGAAAGTGCAACCACGGCTTATTAGACTCATTTACGCATATGTATAAATTGACGGGGCAAGTGTAATATAATCTTCATCACATGAGGTTTGCTTTAAAATTTTTTATATATTTTTTTTTAATATATAATCGCTGTTTAACACTTGATAAGAGTACAGTGTACAAAGTGTGGAAACATGTAACAAGAAGAATTAGGGGAGAATATTAAGGAAAACTTTATTAAACTTTGTGAACTACATAGACATCAAAATTAGAGTTAAATGAAGTCAAAATAAAAGTGCAATCGATAAAAAAAATCAAAAAAACACTAGAAGTAGAAATTATTGAAAAATGTCTTTAAAATAATAATGCCCACGTCGGATTGGGGGCGTGTCTAAAACTTGAACAATCTGATTTTTCATAAATCTTCGTTGTCTGGAAAAACATATGAATGTGATCCATTGTTGTGCCTTTTTAACCTCATGAAACTGCAATAAAGGGTATCTTTTTCATGTTCAATTTCCAAGATCTTTCCAATATAGCACTTGATGCCAGTGTCCTTTCGGTCAAATCTGATCACTATAAAATCTTCCAATCTCAAATTCCATTCCCCATTTCTCCATAATCTTCAAATATTCGGACAATTTCCTTTCTTCCTCAATGGGTAATGCAGGCGCACGACCACCAGTCTGGCTTTTTTTACCACGTCTGCCCTTTATGTAACTTTGCAAGGTACTGTATGGAACTTTATACGTTTCTGCAGCTCTTCTTAGTGTTGTAACTCCCCTTCTAACATCAGAAATTGCTATTTCGAGAGTATCCGAAGTATATTGTGTGCCCCTAGTTGTTTTACGAACGTAGTGTCGTACCATCATGTATTTAATGAACGCTGTAATAATGAAACAATACCCAAAATAGTAACATTATTTTCTTTAGGTGGGAAAGTGCAGTCATGTGATTGCTCTTTCCCTTGCCATCTTGATTGCACTTTCCCTAACAGCCTTTATGGCGGGGCAAATGTAGTCATGTAAATAAATGGCTAAAAAATGGCAACTTTTTCAAATATAATACTTACATATCTCAATCAAGGGTTTTAATGGTGTTTGCACATATTCAGTCAAAATTAATTTCAATATACACACCGTTACACGCTTTTTTTCTGACACACTGTTCCACTTTATGACTGACTTAAAACAGCTGTTTTTACATTGTAATCCACCTGTCGGTAAAGAAGCGAGTAAAACATACGGCGGCTTTGCTACATTCCAGAGGACACCAAAATGTTTCAAATCAACCAAAAATATCACGTCTTAGGTTATTCTATGGTAAATAGTAATCCATGATTGCACTTTTCCCGATTTTGCACTTACCCCACTTTACCTTACCCATAAAGACACAGGGAAATTTTTTTAATATAGCACAAAAGAAAATCATAGGACCATAAAAAAATTGTTTACAGTGGTAATGTTTATTTTTTTTAAAACAGTAAAGCGTTACAAATATTAAAGAAGTATTTTTTTTATTTCTGAAACGACCCTATTTTTTAAAAGATAGTAGAAACAGTCCAGAAACATATCTTAATAAATTGTTGAAAATGAATATAGCGCAAATGGCCATAGCAGCAAAGAGAAATACTTACCTTTAATTTTTGAAGATAAAGAACACAAGTAACCTGAAAAGAAATTGTTTTAACCTCAAACATCTGTTTGAAAATCAGTAGAAACTAAGAAACACCTAGAAAAGAAACACTTTTGAAAAAAAATCAACACAAATAATCATAGAACCCTCACGAAATTGCCCACATTCACTTATTTTGATAATCAGTAAGCATTAAACACAGTAAACATTTTTTTAATTTTTCAAAAAATCATAGCCCAAAGGGCCATAGGAACCTCCAGAAACATAGGTATTTCTCACCTGCTTCAACATCTCCATAATAAACTCCATAGTGCCATTTCGATTGGGACACAACGCTTGAGGACTATCAGAAACCTCTCGCAATTTACTCCAATTATTATGCTTCAGCGCAAATTCCAAATGTCCAAATGTTTGTATCAAAGGAATTACCTCCAACTTTGACTCCTCGGCCGCTGTCAGCAGTTGATTGATATCCTCAACAGAATACGCATTTCCCGCTTTAACCTCCTTTAGAATGCCACTGTAGGGAAACATGTCTTCATATTCTACAAGGATCAAGATTAATGAATGGCCAGCGATATAAAGTATACCTATTAGTAACCCGGTTGCGCCCAAAGTCTTCAGTAATGGAAAAATCTTCCTCAAATAAGCGACTTTCGGAGGTGCACCTTTTAAATCAAGATGTATAATACGTTGTTTGGGAATATAGGGGTTCTTAACATCTAAGTTGACGAACGGTATACCCAACATCTTTTCCAACTCTTGCTGTGACCTATCGTTTTCGGGCAGCCCCTTTCGAGACTCTTTGTTCGAAGAGTCACTGAACGTAAGTTTACCCGCATTTCTTTGCTTTGCCAAAGACTCCAAGAACTTCACATTGGCAAACTGTCCCAAATCTCCTGCGCGCGTTTGGTCTTTATCATCTTTAAATCTGGCATTCTCCTGTTCCGACTGAGAAAACTGCAACCCTAGCATCAACAAGACCAGTAGACAAGCCACTATAAGCATAGATGTCTTTTTACGCCACACTGTTAATGCTACATGGTAAATATAGTTTTTCATTTTCACCTCATTTTTTAAAATGCTATGGCACACAATCTGAAGGCCCCTCGATGCTTTTTATAACCTGTAATCAAATTAGAAAGTTGAATTCGTACCCATTTAATTGACCCAGAAACAAGGAATTTTAGCAATTATTTATGCAACTTACACAAAGTAATCCTGATAATTGTCCATTTAAATTTGAACTGGTTAGTGTTTACAATTATGTCGCCATTACGGGTTATTGACCTTTCAATTTTGAGGTTATGTCAAACAAAATTATACGCTGATCATGGGCGTATCTAGTGAAGGGCTAACAGGGATAACGTTCTGCTGACGCCCATGATACGAATTCGCAAAAGGAAATGAAAATGGCCTGAAATCGGTTTTGGTGCATAGGTATTCAATCTTCAGGATCTAAACGCAGTTTTAATATGTAATTGCTGAAGGAATAAATATTGTTTTGTGGTCTTTTTGAATGGCAACATATTGAAGTTTAGTAAGTAGGCAGTAATAGGTATTAGGGCCTTCTCCTCTATGAGGAACAGAAGTAAACTGAATTTTTGCTATCGATGCACGCCTTTTATTCACCGTTTCTTTGGTGAGGCATGAATTTCAGCCTTAGACCATACAGTACATGGACTGTTAATTGTAACTAAAATATGGTCAAGGACATCACCTGGATATGTGAGTTTTAAATCCTTTCTTACGACACGTTTTTGAAGTTCACGTTTAAGAACTTAAAACCTTCCCCATAAAATTCAATTTATTCAAAAATTTAATGTTGAAAAATAAGGCTAAGGCGACATGTTTCGGCTAACAAGACATCATCTGGCCCTAAAAGTTCGGCATTAACAAATTTTATAAGAACCAAGCCGAACTTTTAGGGCCTGATGATGGCTTGTTAGCCGAAACATGTCGCCTTAGCCTTATTTTTCAACATTATAATTTTTGAATCAATTGAATTGTATGGGGAAGGTTTTAAGTTCTTAAACGTGGATTATCATTACACCCCATTTCGAGTTAGAGAAGGAAAAATGGATACCCAAAGGACGTTTTTGAAGCGTTGCAGAGTATGGTATCGAAACATTGTTTTATATGGACGCCGAGATGGACGCCTGCTTCATACGTGCGACTTGTTGCGGACTTTTACGCTACGCAAAGGCGTGCGGCTGGTAGCATGACCATTGACCCCTTCACACGGCTCGATTCTGCAGCGCCGCCATGCAAGGTAAGAAGGGGTGGAAGAATCCACTGAACATGTAGGAGAAACAAGTGCAACAGCAAAAAGAAGAGAAGAAGAAAACAGGAAAGTTAATCTCTAAAAGAAAAAGTTAAGGAGCTCAAAAAAGGCGTTTGATGGGTTATTGTAAAATTTCACCATGATCTCTGGAATTGAATAGTATATTATTATACGAGTATGTTATGACGCTTATTAGTCACGAGGTTGACGTGTGCGACACGAGCGATATTGAGATAACGAGTGCAGCAAGTTATTGGAGTGAATAAAAATCGAGTATACTATAGGTATTAAATAACTACGCAAAAAATTACGAAAATGAAAACAAAGTAAGCAGGATTTAAGTTTAGCTTAAAGGAAAAATTTCTTAATAAATGTCGAATGGCGGAGTAAGTTCTGTGGGTTCTGTGGTAGATCTTGAAAAATTAACTGTCATGGTACCGTAATTAACAAATGATATGCAGTTTGGTTGTCAATTTGTTTGTGCATTGGTCTCAAAATATGAGTTTGCATTCAGCTTCGGCTGGTAGCTTTTTATTCTACGAAACAAGTTGTAGATAGGTGCACATTGGTTAACAATAATTGTGAGAGAAGAAATCTAAAATTTACTTTAAGGTGGTCTGGTGGAGGGTGGAGCACAACATTCTTCTGTAAAGATCATCATTTTTTTTAACAGAATTGCTATGTAGAAAATGAGAACGTAGGCAACATTTTTATTTTAAAGACTGTCAACTTATATCTTGTCGCTAATAAAATAAGTTGACTAAAATGAACAATTAACGTAACTTTTCTTATTTAAAGAAGTTCTAATAATAACGCTAATATTTACCTACAGAAATTCACAGGTACTACTGAATATAACCATATATATGAGATGCATTACTTAATCAAATTTGGCGGCATTTCTCGAGTTGGTATGAGAAAAATCGATTCGAACCAATAGAATAGAAACAGTTACCATCACCTCAAGAACCGGGCATACTGTACAACTATATACAGCATGCCAGATTTCTGCAAAACTGCCCCTGCTGAAGTGTAGATGTCGCGGCAGTAAGCGTGGCATTTAAATAGTAATATATCAGATACTCTCGATTTCTCTTATCTTCTTTTCGTATCCTTGCTTTCATCTTAGTACGAGTCTGTCCATTACAGTAGTTAGGTGTTCGTCGTCCAGTCAGATCGCGAATAGAACAGCTGATCCTTTCATTGTTTGAATTTTTTAAGCCGGGCAAATACGAGCGTTAGTTGTGAACGAGTTTTTGAAATGACACCGCAGGCGACTTTAAATTATACCAAACAGCCTTTATTAAAGGAACAATCGACTCCGATGTTATTTAAAAAGAAAAAAACAAAAGTTGAAAAGGAAAATAAAAAATGTAAAATAAAATGTGTGCTCGTCGGTGATAAGGCCGTTGGAAAAACTTCTTTGGCAGTTTCTTACAGTAATGATACGTTTCCTCATGAATATATACCAACTGCATACGACAATTACAACGGTAAGTACTTTTGAACAACGGATATTTGACCTGGTTGGTTTAGTTTTACCGGTTTTTTCCCCTTTAATCGCGTTGCAATTAATAGTGAAAGTTCGAGAAGAGTTTAGGCTATAAATTGTGAGAGTTGGATCAATTCATAAAATGAAAATAGTAATTATTCCCAAAAAAATCGAAAACTACAAGTTTTTCTAAGTTTGGAAGAGTAAATTTGGAAACATTTGAACTTTAACGATGCCGCACTGTTGCTTTTTTAGGATATTTCCTCCTTTATTATGAAAAGGGTCTGAATTTTAATAACTGGAAATAGTCAGCAAATTTTTAGACGTGCTCAGCATAAATCGTATAATGCAGATGATGCTCTGTGCTCTGTTTTGTCCTCAATACGCTTAATAGCTCGACACCATACTAACTTTCATTCAAATTTAGGCATTTTTACATTTAAACGCGCGTCCGCAAGAATTGACAATAGTGACGAATACCTTGCAAACTTAATGGGAAATTGAAAATGAGCTCTAGCAAAGATACCCCGATTTTCATTTTCAGTAGACGCAACAACCGGGCGCAACTGAATGTCAAGGAACATACGCAAATTCGAGAAAATCCCATGGTTAAGGTTGCTTAATTTAAATATAATTACGACAGTAGACAAGCTTTAAGTGCAATTAATGAGGCTTAAAATATAATACGCCAATGGTTTCCGAGAAACGCAAGTTCTATGTACCTAGCTGGAAAATGCTTGAACTAATTTACACTGGCAACAAGAACAAGGTGCATCTATTTTCAGTGTCACCATTATGTCCCTTTGTAGATCTCTTCTGTGGGGAAGTAGAAAGTATGGATATTAAGATATGCCAATTGTCATATTAATTTCTTTTATTTTCACACCACCACCCCATTGTCAATCATGTTCCTCTCTCTCGTAGGTACCTATTTGTGTTCATTACTGGGTGTGAAGTTCGCAATAGCGTTTCAGCAATAGAGTTGCATTTTGTTGTGCATCCATAAATATACGCCAACAATATTGTAAAATATTGGCACAATTTATCTAAGTATTTTACCCGCAAAAGAATTATGGTTCTTTAATTTACCCCAGTTGAGCTCCCGATAAAGATCATAAATCTGATCTGCAACAACCCCTAATGTGCCGACCCGCTTCTTGATGTAGGTCTCGAGGTAGATATCAACGTTTGTCTTGCAGTTTCTAATAGAGAGCAATTTTTCATATTACAAGGTAAAATGTATACAAAAAACAAATCCATTTTGTAACTTAGTCTGCGGCTACGCTAACACAGTGTCATCCACCTTTAGCGCTAATTCCGCAGCTTTAACATTTATCAAATTTAGATTTCTGTACCTTCTAAATTCTAATGTAAATTATGGGGTTCCCAATGAATTATTTTCCGAAATGCTGTGTCTGAAAGTAAAACGTGCATATCTTACACATGCGACAACCTCGGCGACTACGAATCCATTGATGGTGTCAAAACTTTAAGAGCGAATATCTCGAAAACGAAGTGTCGAAGAGGATACCTACTTATAAAGCGTAAGTGGAACGACTGGACGAGACGCATCTACTGGTGGTCAAAACTTTCAGTGCAAATATGTGAAGAGCGGGAGTAGGAGGGTACTCTCAAAGAGCGACACGTATCTACCGGCGATGTGAATACTTAAGTGTGAACCTCGAAAATGAAGAGTAGTAGGAAGATACTTACAAAAGGAAAATGCAATATTGTGAGAATTTATTTAAGGGCTTGATTCTTGTTGCAGTAAGTATATAGTGTACATTTTGAATGTGTTCCAAGCGGTCTCTATATTTTTATCTGTAAAGAGCACCCCCTCCCTCTCCTCCCCTTTAATCAACTACCAGGAAGGAAAACATCGATAAATGTAGCACGCTAGTTCCTCATCGGACTGAAATTCCGGGAAACTTGGTGCACAAACAGCATAAAAAGGGTGAAAATGAGAAGAGCATTTTGGTCACAATGGAAAGCTTTCATTTTTAGGGTGGAGTTGTAACTCCAAAAAAAAATCCGCGTCTCTGTTAATATATTGATGCACAACATGTGAGTTAGCGGAAAAAAACAACACAAAACGAGAACAAATGCACCATGTACACTTGATCGGAATTGTTGGCACACAGGCGTAGCCTTTGATTAAAAATTGTATACCTACCTTCATTAATGTGGCCATTAAAGCCAAACGATGTTCAGTTTTTGAACTTGGGAGAACACGTGATTTTGAACAAAAATCGATCCTTGAAATCGTATGAAGTAAAAGTTGGTACATTCAAGGCAAAGTTTAACCTGCAGTAGTCGTGGATTAAGGTTGATTCAGAACTTGTAAATCGTTTTATTTAATCATTCCGATGTTTAAATTATGTTTCTATTTATTATTGCTGATTTGGAACTGTATTAAAAAGTGGATAGATAGTCTTAGTATGGGACGCCTCCAGAACCCCAAAGTTTACGTTTCCTCCTCGGTTTCTTCCTTAATTTTTTTTCGACAACGTTAACAAATAGACTGCTTAATTCCTTTATGTTGCACTATGGCTGCTGTGGAAAAGGCTAAAGAACAGACGTAACGGGTGGGTGGGATGTGTTGAGACTTAGTTCACAAATAAACCTAAAAGGGAACTAAAAAACCAACACAGCTACGGGGTCATTGGATTTGATCCATTTTCAATAGAGTTGTTACATGTGGCATATGTAACAACAAGTTGTGGCACCTCTATTGGCAAACAAAACTTTAAACGCGAATTGCGGATAAACTGGACGTCGGAAGTGGATACCGACAAAGGGAATGTGGTAGCCCCGGACAAGATCTTACTGATGGGCGAAAAATTGGCTAGTAGAATACCTACTGATCTGCCTCACTAAAATGCGATAAAGTCCCTTCAATATCACACGAGCACTTTGATAATTTTTTCTAGTTGTTCGTAGTCGTAGTCTGCAAAAATGCCACTTGCTACGATCCC